GCGAAGCCGCGGGCAAAAGTTGGTATTGTCATAAACCTAAAAATTATTATCTCTGTGGTCACGACACTTGATATGAAGAAATTACGAAAAATAACTACCACGACAATCTGCAACGCTAGTGCCTATATACCACTCCCTTTGGCCGGTATTTATATATATATGCCTATTATATATATATGCCTTCATGAAGGTAGACCCTTCATGAAGGCATATATATATAATTAAGGATAATATTGTGTTTTTTTTTTAAAATATTATTATCTCTAAACTCAGCATCATGTAGCTCATATTAGTAATGTTGTAATTATAAACTATATTTGATATTAAACAACCATTTTGTAGTAAAAATTTGCTACTGAAATATTTCGAGAAAAATATCTGCTTGGTATTCTCTTACATCTAAATATATTATATATAACTCAAAGGTGTCTGAAATAGTGATCTATCAACACACAGCCCAAACCACTGGACGATGATGATGCAGGTAGATGTTATGACGTAGGCATCCGCTAAGAAAGGATTTTGATTAATTGTACCCCCAAAAGTATAAAATAGGGGATGAAAGTTTGTATGAAACTTTGTCAATTTTAAACCGATCGGGCTGAGACTTTGCATGCATAAAGCTACTATAACGTAGTCATCCCCTAAGAAAGGATTTTGGTAAACTCCACCTCTAAAGGGAGAAATTAACGCGAGCGAAGCCGCGAGCAAAAGTTAGTTTTGTATAATGTAAGAAAATTCATCCGTTTGATATCTTATATTTTGCGGGTAATGTTCTTATTACATAAATTGTTCAAAATCTGTATACAGGTGATTTTATGTTAAAAATTTTTGATTTCCCATAAAACAGGGTGTTCTAACAACACTAATACTGCAAGTTGGGCATATACATATAATTTGGTATTCGTTACATTGAAAATGCATATCGCCTGCATTGTCCAATGCAATTTTAATAAACGGAAGGACACCATCATCTATAGTGGACTGTGTAAAAAATTATCTAAAATCATGATAAGACCCGTAATTATAAACAAAACACGTACCACGAGGAAATGTTTTCTGAATATGAATAAAAAAAAAACACCACCGCCATTATAAACAGGTACCTACTGCTATTATGGTGTTTAGCAAAAAAACTCCGCTTTAAAAATTATACCATAAACATTGATTGCAATAAGTCATAAGCGACAGATCGGTTGCAATTGAAAATGGAATTAAATGTGCAGGCAATAGACGTTGCAATTGAATGCGTATGGTCATGTGTGGCGGTCCTAAAATAATATTTTCAAAGTCGCTACAAAAGTGGTATTAACAGTAAACTTCTGTAATCTGTTACACCTAGTGATAGAGCGAGAGGGTAGAGTTATGTTAATATGGGATTGGTATGTGTGAGGAGGATAGATAGTGGTTTGTGTGTGTTTGTCTAACAATGTGGTCGGTAGCCAACCGGTAGGCATGGGCGGGACTCGACTGTTGGTCGGTCTACTTTGAAATTACTTCTTTGTGTCGATGTTATTTTTTAATATTCATATTTTTTATGTGCAATACAGACAGACAAAAATATTGTACAGTTATATATAGACTCATACGTCATAGCTATTGGCCTCGGTGGTTTAGCATACCGCCTTACTTCCGATGGTCGCGGGTTCGGTTCTTCGCACGGTACAAACATTTTTATTTCTGTTTGTGTCAGTCTAGCCGTTTTTACGTATATTTTTTTTGGTTGATAATGGAATGGTGCACCCGTACAGGCGGTTTACGCTGACGGGACACCAGTGGAGGATGATAAAATGAACATGAGTTCAGGTCAGTTAGCCCATCATGACAGATTGTCCAGGATGGTTTCCAGGGGGAACCGCGTGGAGGTCCGCCTGAGATGATACATCGCTAGTAATGGGGTCAATGTGGATTACATTAGGTACTAACAATTCCCTTCCACTTTTTTTACGTATATTATGTATGTATTTACAAAAAAAAAGGTATACATGTGTTTATATCAGTTATCTAGTATCCATAACACAAGCTCTGCTTAACTTAGGACTAGATGGCGCTGTATGAAATATCCTGAAATGTTATTAGATATTATTATAACTAAATAAAATTTATTTATATAACTTATTTGTACAACTAAGTACCTACCTAAAATTAAAAACCTTAAAAATATAATATAATAACTAAAATATATTATAAAAACTAAATAAAATTATTCATATATTATTATTCATTTATTCATAACAATAATTATTGTATTGAATTTCAAAGTACCAAATTAAATAATCTAAATATAAAATAACAATGTCAAAATTATAATAATACCTAATAATAATAAAATCAACAATAGTACCTAATACCAATACCTAATAATTTCCAAATATAGCTATCCGGTCATTCATCAAAAAATTCATCAATGGAGTAAAAGCATTTTTTTTAATAAATATTTTTTAAGGTCAATTTTGAAATTAGTTTTATAAATAGCATCTATTAAATCACTAGGCAGTCTATTAAATAGCTTCACAGACTGATAACGTGTACTGTGTTTTACAACCTCTAATCTAGGTATTATCTTGATTATCTTATCTTTGTTATATAAATAATAATATAATAATAATAATCTCAGGACAATTCACACAGCGCCATCTAGACCCAAGTTAAGCTAGCTAAAGCTTGTGTTATGGGTCCTAGACAACTGATACAAATACATAGATTTTTTTTTTTCGTAAATACATACATATTATACATAGAAGATACCCAGACAGATACAAACAATCATAGTCATGAATACAAATGTTTGTGCCGTGCGAGGAATCGAACCCGCGACCATCGGTCGTAAAGCGGTATGCTAGACCGCTAGACCACCGAGGTCGTCAAAACTCCTATGTTATCTAAATATAACCTTTACGATGGTAATCCCAGATGTGGTAGTCAGAGACAGTTAACTGTCGACCTCGTGGTGTAAGTACAACACTTGATATGACAAAGTTTCCAAAAATAATAACTAATATTATTATTTGGATCTACTGTATGGTGGTAAACCTAGGTAAAAAAAACAAATGAAACCGACAATTTGATTTGTTATTAGTGTTTTCCATCACTGGAGAGTTAGTCACAAATTTAAGTTGGCAGGATTCGAACCGACGGTTTTGGATCGTATATGAATCGAGATGATATTCATGATGCTCCTATCCTTATCTCATAATAATGTCCCACGATTCTTTCGCATCTCGAAATTAACTAAGTTTTAGCCGGGACTTTGCCTATTTTTATTTAAGTTAATGATAACCTACATCTATTCTCGTCATACAATGGTATCATGACGTCAAATTTCATATCAAAATCTGTATAGTCTTAAAAAGGTAAGAAACAAGGTATGTTTTTCAATTAAGGTTATGGGCCTACGAATTTATAATATTAACTACTAGCTAAGCCCGCGGCTTCACTCGCGTAAAATTTATAGTCTATATGTTATTCTGATGTATAAACTATGTTACTGTAAACTTTCATCAAAATCCGTTCAGTAGTTTTTGCGTGAAAGAGTAACAAACATCCATTCATACTCACAAAGTTTCGCATTTATAATATTAATAAGATTATATATATTGTATGGGTTTTTTTTGTGTTGAGATGATATGTGAGATGATACGTTAATCAATAAATAATATGGATTTTATTTTCGGACTACTCAATGCTATTGGCCGCTGGCCTTTACAGCTTCACCGGACGATAGGGGGCGAGTGCAGATGGCACTCCAAACCCGCGGAAGGACTTATGGAGCGACTAAAGGCCAACTCCCGCCTAACGGATACGAGACTTTAGTCTGAGGTCACCTAGAGGTTCGGACCTCGGCTCAGGCCGTCGTAATATCGACCCTTTGAAATAGACGGGGGATCGATCGGAGGGGGAATATGTACGTTTGCAGAATTGTATTGCCTTTTAATATTTTTTACAATAATGTTAAACAGTCGGTATTTGACATTAAAACTATATATTAATTCACAAATTAATAAGTAGGTCGTATATGCTCGTAACAATGTGTGTAATAGGAAACGACCACATATATATATTAAGTTTGTATTCGGTATATATGTACATAATTCAGTGTACTACTGTTAGGTAGGTATATGTTTACTAGCTATTATTATAATGTAGAGCCCAAGGTATGTATGGTAGTGACATATGCATTACAAAGGCCACAATAGGACGCTATTCATTGCTATGTAAATGTAACCATAACTACCTAATTATTTACCTAGATTTTATTTATGTTAATTATATTCGATACTAGCTGTACCCGCGACTTCGTCCGCGTGGAATTGTACTTTATTTTTCAAAAATAAAAGAATTTTTAGCCTAATTTACTCCTTATTACATCAGGTACGTGCCAAAAAATTCCGTCAAAATCGGTCCAGTCTTTTTATAGATTAGCCGGAACAAACAGACAGACAAAGATTGTAAAAATGTTATTTTGGTGTAGATATGTACCGTATTTATATTCATATGCATGTAGTAAAAAACGGGTATTTCAATATTACAAAGAGACACTCGAGTATTATTTATATGTATAGATATAACTCCGTTGACCTGAATAGGAATAGATATGTACTAATTTAAACTTGGTTTACATACAATAGAAGTAATAGAATAGAATAGAAAATCATTGAAATTCAAAAATTCAAAATATCTATATTCGTGTAGGTCTATTACCGACTCTTATGATGTGTCAAATCTACCGTCAGTTTTTAAATCATTTATAAATTTAAGCACTTCTGAATAGTTACAGTTATCTTGCTACTAAGACATCGCTCATTCGGAAAGCAGTCTCATCACAAGACGAACGAGCAAGAAACTTGCTCTTTTAAATAATTGTTGTAACTTTACATTTTTAAGTCGAAACGTGTGAATACAAACCACCAACTTGCACTAACATTTATTCAAATAAACCTAATTATGACTATTCGATAGCGAAAGAGATTTTTTTTAAAACACATACAACCATGTCTTCCGGTTTCGTTGGTATGGTACTGTATAAAATCGTCTGTTTTGATTGTCTATCAGTGCTCAGCCAAGACTACTATGTCTAGAAACTTGAATTCTTAATATTCGTTTATTTTCTAAAATAAAATTGTCTACTGCGAAAGTATATTGAAATTAAGAAATAAATGATATTGCACAGGTACACCTGTGAGAAACAGTCAGCATTATATAATTCTAATATTTGCTTTCAGCGCCATCTAGTAGGCAATAGATGAGTTAAAGAACATGAAATATAATTCTTGCTTATTACCCTGCTAAATGCTGACGTCTTGCTTAAGTCTAAAGTAGTTTCAATAGAAACCACTAGATGGAGTTAAAAACAAATTTTAATATTCAATATTCACATCAGGTACAGATAGTGAAATTTTTGATCTTTGTATTTTTTGCTTTTAGTTTGAAGATGGTAGCATTTAATAAATTCCCATGCTATATTGTAAGCCTCCTTGGTTTTCTTCGGTAAACAGTTGTCTATCATGCGCTCCACGGACTGTTTATCTATGGAAAATAAGTAAATATTTTATTATTTACGCCTAAATTTTCGAGATTGTATTTATTACGGGATAGGCAGTAAGAACTAAATGATATTAGCTCCCATCCGTTTACACATCTCTAGTTTATTTCATTTTCACTGTTCTTCATAACGGAGTTCAAAAAGAGTTTCCGGAGACTAGATGAAACCATCAATTAATCGAAATTCATAAATAAAAAAATCTAATAAAACAGCTATCATATTGGCTTCTTTCTGCTACCTATCACTTTGGCGATTGTATTTTATTTTTTTAATATTGACTAAAATCTTTATAATTATTCTTTTATTGAAGTAAAAACATATAAGCATCTTGTATTGAACTATAGGAATACATGAATGATAGTTTAATACTTACCAATATCAGGTACTCTAGACATAGCAACATCCATCTTAAACACACCTTCTTTGGACATAAATCCGTATTTATTCAGTAAACAGAGACACCATTTTTTGAGGGTTGGATGAGCATTCTGTGAACATATTATATAGCACACTAGCTACTCGACCCGGCTTCGCACGGGTGTAGGTGTATTATTTATATAAACCTTCCTCTTGAATCACAGTCCCCTCCGATCGATCCCCCGTCCAATTCAAACGGGGACCGATGTTACGACGGCCTGAGCCGAGGTTCCGTCAGGCGGGAGTTGGCCTTCAGCCGCTCCATAATTCCTTCCGCGGGTTTGGAGTGCCATCTGCACTCGCCCCCCATCGTCCGGTGAAGCTGTAAAGGCCAGCTGCGGCCAACAGCATTAGAGTAGTCCGAAAAAAAATTGAATCACTATCTATTAAAAAAACCGCCTCAAAATCCGTTGCATAGGGACAGACAGACAGCGACTTTGTTTTATACTATGTAATGATACTGTTGGTCACTCTCTTGTCTCTACTACAGACTCTTACGATATGTCAAATCTACGGTCAGTTCGGAGTGATTCCAACCGAAGAACAAGAGACAAGAAACTCAGCTCTTGTTCTTTTCAAATGAGCTTGTACATGATTAGTATGATTACATATAAAAAGTTCATCAGGTTTTTTATGATTCAAAAAATATTTTTAGATCATTCAAACATGCCGTAACAAATGGATAAAGAAAAAAAACTATACTACCTTCCAGTACCCACCCTTCAGCTTCAGTACTGAATTAGGGTTCACCTTCGTTTCCTCCACACACTCCATCTGCCTTTTATGTAGCAACTGGTTCTCTTCCTCGGTTATACACTGGAGATTTAAGTAAATGCCATTACAAAAAGAATTTGGTATTTCTATATTATACCTAAATGTCACTACAAAAAGTGAGTTATTTACATGTGGAATTTAACTATACTTACTATTAAAATTCTAAAAATATTTAAAATAAAAGTAGCATAACTTACTCCTTATAATATTAGCTATCTGCAAGTAAGTCCCGTCAAAATCGGGCCAACCGTTTCAGAGATTAGGAGGCTGTTCGACACACAAACGTGCAAGCAAACAAACCACCATAGAAAACCAGTAAAGAACATATATTATAAATATATATCTAAAATAGAATGGAATAGAAAATGATATATCAAGTAAACTTAATTTAAGCACTTTTGAATAGTCATAGTTTTTTTTAAATTACCGTTGATTCGGAAGGCTGTCTCATCACAAGAACGAACAAGAAACTTGCGTGTTGCTCCTTTAAATAATCGTAACTTTACATTTTTAAGTCTAAATGTGTGAATACAAACTACCACTATTCTATTATATATACTCTATACATATAAAAAAAAATTGGAGTGTCTGTTTGTAATATTGAGATAGCCGTTTTTTACTACATGCATATGAATGTAAATACGGTACATACACCACAATAACATTCTTTTACAGTTTTTGTCTACCTGTCTACTTGTCTATTTGTTCCGGCTAATCTCTGAAATGGCTGGACCGAATTTGACGGACTTTTATTGGCAGGTAGCTGATGCAGCAGAATAATAAAGTTAAATTCCACGCGGACGAAGTCGCGAGTACAACTAGTTAAGAAATAAAAATGAAATTAAAAAAACTACTTTAAAGACAAATAAAATAAGATAATCTGTAAGATTTGAACTTTTATTCATAAATGTACAGTGTACAGCTAGTTATATATATATATATTGGCTGTAGCTATAACCTTGCCCAAGAGTTTATTTACCTTTCTAGTTACATAAATATAAAGATATACATACATGCACGTAAGTAATAAACAGCAAAAGAATTACAGCGTTCATAACTCCCGAGATGTGATCTCCTTTGGCAGTTAAGTCTGTACTAGTACTGAGACGTTTAACCATTTCTATATATTGCTGTATTGAAGTTCAGTCATAGATTCATGAGTAAGTGTATTATGTAAACATTACATTAGAAACTCATTCAATTTCCACTCGCCTATTACTTGTCTAGTTATATTATTAGATAACTATTATAAATATTATACTTTATAAGTTAAATAGTTTATCATTTCTCAACTATGAACAGTGAAATGTTATTTTCCATTCCATGTATATTACTGCGCCCACGGTTTCAAGTAAGTCATTTATTCGCGTTACAGACAGATATGCATATAGCAATTAAGTCACAGTGACATTAGTAGGCTGCGCTGTGATATGCTATTTTTCAGTATAGCCTGTGTTGTTCTGATGTATAAGCTACATTACTGAAAAGTTTCATCAAAATTCGTTCAGTAGTTTTTACGTGAAAGAGTTACAAACAGTCATCCATGCTTCAATCCATCCATACACACAAACTTTCGCGTTTAACACATTCATCATCATCATTGCAGCCCGGAAGACGTCCACTGCTGGATATAGGCCTCCCCCAAAGATCTCCATGACGATCGGTCCTGCGCTGCTCGCATCCAATGCCTTCCAGCGATCTTGACCAGATCGTCGGTCCACCTTGCTGGAGGCCTTCCCACGCTGCGTCTTCCGGTCCGTGGTCGCCACTCGAGGACTTTACTGCCCCAACGGCCATCTGTCCTACGAGCTATGTGCCCCATTGCCACTTCAGAGTCGCAATTCTTCGCGTTTAACACATTAATAACATCAAATATATAAGATGTATGTTAAAATCGGTCCAGCCATTTCAGAGATTTGCAAGAACAGACAGACAATGTTTTTTTTAAATGTATATTTTGATGTAATACCATATATACTTTCATACGTATTTAGTGAAAAACATTTCAAGTTTATTTATTTGTATGTATGACTTAACTGTACTGGCAACTTCGAACGACTTCTAGCTTAATTTTTCTAAAATAAATGTAGCCTAAGTTACCCCTTATAACATCAGCTATCAGCTGCAAAAATCCGTCAAAATCGGTCTAGCCATTTCAGAGATTAGCCGGAACAAACACAGACAAACAGACAAAAATTGTAAGAAATGTTATTTTGGTATATGCGGTACGCATTTATGTTTATATGCATGTAGTAAAAAACGGTTATTTCAATATTACAAACAGATACTCCAATTTTATTTATATGTACAGATTACAAATATGAGGTATAAAATGAAAATTAAATGTGTGTTCATATATTTTTTATTGCACTATTAATAGTAAATTCGTACAGGCAGTAATGAAACGTCTAAAGTAAGTTAGTGTTGAACTGTAGAATTTTACAACCCTATCGATCAGTCTAAATGGACACCCAAAACGTATAAGTACGTATTGGAAATAATGAAACTTTAATGATATGAATGTTTAATGATATTGTTTTCATTAAATTACAGAGCAACAGCGTCTTTTGTCATGAAAAATCATAAAATGCCCAGAGATGTATTTGACAAGAAAATAATAGATGACTTATTGCGTCATAGATCGTAATATGACGCCACTAAAGTAATAAAGACGTAAGAGAAAAGTCGCAGTGTAATAAAGAATTCAGAGGTATAACGATTTTCTTTGATCAAAATTGTATTTCACAATATTAAACGGGAGTTTTAGCAATACGATTGCGATTGTTAATTGTGGATTTACAAGAAGATGGCGTGTTTGGGGTCCTTCTCGTGGTAGCACTTGACGTAGTTCCACGCGGTCTGGTGGGGGGTGTTACCCTTGTTTGCAAGGCAGGTGTCGATCAACTTCTCAACGATGGGTTTGTCGGCTGGAACATATAAAAAATATATTTAGTGTACGGGACAAGACAACGTGGCATACTTGATATTCAAATATATATGTATAGGTATACTATATAGACATAAATATATAGGTGATGCGGAACAGCACGAGGCACACTTCATTATTTTCTCTTAACTTATAGGTACATTAAATATAACTATGTATAATCCATCTGATGGTAAATGGTTACCGTAGCCTATGGACGCCTGAGGCACCAGGGGTGTCACGTGCGCGTTGCCGACCCTTAAAAAACCTTAATATACCCTTCTTGAAAAACCCTATGCTGTAGTCTCGTGAGCGTCTCATAAAGATATATTTTGTTAAAAAGAGAACAAAAATACGGCCAATAGCAAAATCTTTAATAAATTATACACCCGATAATACATTAGAAATTTATGTAAAAACCAAAGGAAAGAAATTAATTAATATTTTATTATATTAAATTCGAAATACATATAACGTGCTATTTTGTAAAAGAGAAAATAATATAAAAATTAATAACGATTTTTGATTTTCAAACCAAAACTATTTACAATACATAGAGCTATGTACATATTGTATTTCATCGAATTAGGTATTATTTTGCGAAAACCCTTTTCATTACTTAATGGATCTGTTTAATTCCACTACTTTTAAGATGTGTGAGATCACAACACATTCAGTGCGGAAGCCGGAAGCGTTAGAACTTTTCCGACTAGCGATCAAACTTCGACCACTATAAACAAATATATCAGAATTAAACAAAATCAATAGGTATATTTTGCTATTTTAAAGTATTCGGAATTAAACAAAATCAATAGGTATATTTTGCTATTTTAAAGTATTCGGAATTAAACAAAATCAATAGGTATATTTTGCTATTTTAAATTATTCGGAATTAAACAAAATCAATAGGTATATTTTGTTATTTTAAAGTATTCTGAATTAAACAAAATCAATAGGTATATTTTGCTATTTTAAAGTATTTAACATTAAACAAAATCAATAGGTATATTTTGCTATTTTAAAGTATTCGGAATTAAACAAAATCAATAGGTATATTTTGCCATTTTAAAGTATTCGGAATTAAACAAAATCATTAGGTATATTTTGGTATTTTAAAGTATTAACGAGTTGTCAACAAAACTATCGTTAAACTAGTAGATAAACAAGTTCAAAAGTCAGGTCTTCAGTCATCGCAAGTGCTGTTTATGATATAATAGCATCCTTTTTAAGACAACTCAAATTATGATCATTGTTAGAGCGTCCAGTCACTTCCACGCTATTGTTTGACCCGGTCGTTATATTCTTTAATAAAGTTTAAGTGAATTAAATTAAATTAATCAATTAGTTATAATCGTTTATTCTTTAATAAAGTTTGAGTGAATTAATCTATTGCTTATAGTCGTTTGTTCTTTAATAAAGTTTGAGTGAATTAATCTATTGGTTATGATTGTTTGTTAAGTTTGAGTGAATTAATTGTCTATTGGTTATAACCGTTTGTTAACTATGGTTAAGATTAGTTTGGTCAGTATGGAGTCGTGTTTATATTAAATTTAAATATGTACCCCCCTTTTATAGTCAATTAATAACTCTTCGTTGAATATATTTGTAAATGGTGTAATTAGTAATGTTGTATTTTTATATTTAACCGATAAGAAACGAGAATTTTGTCTGTGTAAGTATATAAATATTTTTTATATCGACCTCTGTACTGCAATCTGAGAATTAAGCTTCTTCGACTGTTAATCAATTATTTTTTTGTTGTGCTACTATTTAGTTAATTGTCCCTAGGTATATTTCTTTGATACCAATCCTTACTAATATTATAAATGTTAAAAGCAACTCTGTCTGTCTGCCTGTCTCACTTTCACGCCAAAACTACTGAACGGATTTGAATAAAATTTGATACACAAATAGTCTAGATCTTAGAAAAGAGAAGGACAGGGGGGTAAGGGGTGAAATTGAAACTTATTTTTTAGCAGACAAAGTCGAAGGAACTACTAATATTATATATTTTTTAATCTCTGTTTATACTATACCTATATATTTATTATTTATAGCAGAGTAGAAATGTATTAAACTTAACTTATCCCACTAATATTGTGAGGGGATGGTATGTGGATATGATGGTATAAGTATGGATGGATGTATGTTAGTCTTTCACTTAAAAACCACTTAATGGATTTCAATGAAACTTTAAAATAATATATTGAAATGTTTTTTCATTGCTACATAATATTTATAACTACACTAAAATTTATAGCCTATATGTCATTCTGATCAGAATAATATATAGGCAATAAATTTCATGCGAGTGAAACAATGGGCACAGTTAGTGTAGTTATAAATATTATATAGCAATGAAAAAACATTTCTATGCTGCGTATTAAAAATAAACATAAATAAAAAACAACATTCAATATAGACTTTCATTAAAATTTAACAAAATGAAATATTTTTTATATAATAATTCAAATTTTATTTATTTAAACTTTATTAAATTTTTGTACCATAGCCGGGCTAAATGCTAATAGTATTCTCTACGAGCCAACCTTAGGGAGTGCTGAGATACTTGATTCATCACTAAATATTTTGTTTTGTTCGAATTAAGAGCCGCAACATCCTTTAATGTGTGTACTTGATTCGAAACTAGTTTCTTATTGGTGGTCACTCTAAAAATAGTATAGGTGTAAGCAGATGGTACATACCTGCATTGGGAACCTTGGCGAGAGCAATGTCCTTCTTGAATTTGCCTTCTTTGGTCATCAGTTCGGATTTGATCAGCATGCACAGAGCGTATTTCTTCAGAGATTCGTTTTCGGTCTGTAATGAAATTAACAATATATTAATCAATACGCCCAGGATGGTCTAGCGGCCTTACCGCCTTATTTCCGATGGTCGTGGGTTCGATTCTTTTCTTTTGTAAATATATATCTATGTATATGTATATATATTTATAAAAAAAATGTGTAGTACAAAGTGAACATCCAAATCCATACTAATAATCATATTCATGAATAAACCCGCGATCATCACGCCAGTGAAGTGGTATGTAAAACCGCTGAACTGTCATGTGTAATAATCCTGGACAATTTACCCAGCGCCATCTAGTCCCAATCTAAGCAGAGCTTGTATAATAGGTACTAGACAACTGATACAAATACTTAAATACACTTTTTTTGTAAATACATACATAATAGAAATATTTTCACCGTGCGAGGAATCGAACACGCGACCATTGGAAGTAAATCTAAACCCTGGACCACCAAAAGACTGTCAAAGACTGTCCACATACATATTCCTATATCGCTGAAGTATAAAAGACCTATATTCAACAATGGACATTAAATGGGCAAAATGATGATGATGAGAAAATTCCAGTCGCTTTACCTTGTAATCACCAGTCTTCAGTTTGTTGACTAATTGTTCATCAGGTTTGGTCTCCGCGAGGCACTCGCTCCTATGCTTCTTGAGTTTCTCCTTCTGTTCATCAGTCAGGGCCTGGATTGAAGACGAATCATGTTAAAACATTGCAGGTGTTATCTAGTTATTAATTGGAAGTTTATATTCACACATTTCAACTTAAAAATGTAAAGTTTCAACAATTCTTCAAAAGAGCAACACGCAAGTTTCTTGCTCGTTCCTGTGGGAAAAAATGAGAGTTCGGTCCTACTAAACGAACTTTGATGAAACTTTACAGTAATATAGCTAATACAACAGAATAAATTGAAATCTTTAAACACGCGGGGGAAACTACGGGTTCAACTACAACTGTATATAGTAAAATATCTCCTATAGTTATGATAAATAGAAACTATAATGGAATAGACAATTCTAACAATATATCCTCACCTGAGCCAGCACAATGCAGACGGCGAATACAACGAATGTCTTCATATTGACAGCTGAATGGACACGTTATGACGGGCAGACACGACGACCTGTTTATATATATGGGGGAACGGCCGCCGGGATAATGGTAGCATCGGGATTGGCAGGCGTTGTCAACATTTACAGTAGCATATCAAATAATTTTTATTTAATTAAATTTAAATCAATAAGTTTATACAAAGCTGGTAGCAGCAGACAATAAGTGTACGTTTACAGTGAATGATATTTGGTTGGAGAATCTAGTGATGGTAGTTGGAGAAAACTGCTGGGGCATACCGATTTTGACATCGCTGTGCTCTAGTCAGTTCGTGACCACGGCTAGTGCAACCTAGTCGAAACGTTGAGAGAGGTTTACCCTTTAACTATCATAAAATTATTCAGTTAAGACCCAACTACTTTTCTCTTTATAATATAAGCATACATGTAGCGATCGTCCAGACTTTTACACTATTTCAGTTATTGTCCGAATGTCAATTGTTTTTGAAATTTAAAAGTAGTCTGTTTTACTTTCAATATAGCAGCCTACCATGGCTTTAAGAATTAAAAAAATAAGAATTTAATTAAATACGTTTGGGTAGTCGTAAGGTCTTAACGGCTTCGTTGATTTATCAGGTTAGTACTCCGCTTAACTTTCGAAGGATTTAATCGCGGTCAGTGAAGAAAGAAAATACTTTTATGTTGACTCAAGAGAGCGAAGAGTGTACCTTTTTGTATAATAATAACATCCTTAGAGAATTCACACAGCGCCATCTAGTCCCGAACTAAACTGAGCTTGTATTATGGGTATTAACAACTTATAGATATACTTAGACACATTTTTGGTACATACAAAACATTCAGACCAATACAAACAATCATACTCATGAATACAAATGTTTGTACTATGCGATTAATCCTACCTAAGACCGATGAAATTAAAGGTATAATGATAATCTTTATTAGCCAATAAAACATTTTTCCAATATTTCATATTTTGTTTATTAACAATGTAAAAAACTTCTTTACATAAATGGCAAGTCATAACATACAGTAATTAATATTTATATAAATTCAATCCAATTACAATTACATTAATAAACAAAATTACATTAATTAAATGCGTATACAATATAAGTAATAACATAATATATTTCGTCGTCTTAATTACGACATAATTATATTTAGGTCTAAATACTCTATAATATTATAAAAAGGATGTTTTTCAAAAATAGATTTTATTTCTGTTTTGAATTCTTTTGGGGGTAAATCTCTTATTTCTCTTATTACACATTTTTATTTTTATATTTTGATATTATGGCGGACCACAGAGTAGACATGCAAGTTGCAAGTTAAATGAAATTAATGTAATAATAATTTTAATATTCAAATGTTGTCGATACCTGTCCGGACTGCGTAGGTTGGTCTGGAATGATCCGACTTGTGTTCTCTCTCGCATCTATTATAACTGACACACTACTCGATTTTTATATAGCACTAGCTGTTCCCGCGACTTTGTCCGCGTGGAATTTAACTTTTTTTTTCTAAAATAAAAGTTGCCTAAAGAATTAACAATTATTTTGTTCATCTTAAAATATTCGTTCCATTTGGCACTGATAGGTTCAAACTAATCCTGCATCATTCCTTATTTTATCATATTCATTAGGGGTTGAATTTATGAAAATCCTATTTAAGCGAACGTCTTCACCATAGTACTTCCAATTTTTATTTCAGTTCAATCAGTCGAAAATCTAAGAAGATTTATATAAACTTTCATCCCCTATTTTATCCCCCTATATTATGAATTTATCAAAATCGTTTGAATCGTTCAAATTCTTAGGGGATGCCTACGTCATAGTAGCTTTATGCATGCAAAGTCTCAGCCCGATCGGTTTAAAATTCACAAAGTTTCATACAAACTTTCATCCCCTATTTTATCCCCTTGGGGGTAGAATTAATCAAAATCCTTTCTTAGCGGAGTCATAACATCTACCTGCACGCCAAATTTCAGCGTGATCCCTCCAGTGGTTTGGGCTGTGAATTGATAGATCACTATGTTAGTCACCTTTGAGTTATATGTATTTAGATTATTTATTCTCTACCTTAATCCTATTCAATGTGGTATTTACAAAAATTTTAAAAAGCCCCTTTGAGTACTTATAACAAGTACTCATACGGGCTTTTGTAAATTTGGAATGCAGTTGTGTGTTACAAAATTATAATCACATAGTCTTATCACTACGACTGATTTAATCTTATTGCATATTTATATTTGACCCAAAAAATTAGTGATTGTTGGTAGTTCGTATTCACACGTTTCGACTTATAAATGTAAACTTACAAGGATTATTTAAAAGAGCAACACACAATTTCTTTCTCGTTCTTCTTTTCGAACGACTGGTAGATAAAAAACAAATTGTTATGACTATTCAAAAGTGCTTAAATTAAGTTTATTTGAATTTAAATGATTAATTATTTTGAAATAAATTATTTTGAATTTAAATGATTTTCTATTCTATATATTTTATTAATACTCACAAAGTTTTTGCCCCATATTAGCGTCAGTTTAATTTAATGTCATATTTTATGATTATTGATATTTAGGGTCAAATATTTTAGGGTCTTTATCCTGGGGGTAGCGGATTGTTAGCAATGTAGACTGAGGACTCCATCGCTAGCAATGTACCATGTCAGGTTGATCGACGCTATTCCTCCTGGAAACAACCGTGATAAATTCCTGATGAATTTGCCACGATGTACTAACTGGCCTAACTACATACTCATCTTATCTTCCTCCACTGCTGCCCCGCCAGTATATAAATCTCAGGTTGATGTCCAGCGTATAAAAAGGTCAGGTTGATCTCCACGCGGTTCCCCATGGAAACTATCATGGTTAATTCTTGGTCAATTTGTCACGATAAACTACCTAAAGTGATTTTATTAAGAGCTTATCATTCTCGAACACTAACAAAATTTACAAGACCATGATCCGGCCTGCTGTCTTGTATGGATCAGAGTGCTGGCCCGTAAAGGCAACGGATGAAAGACGACTGCATGCAACTGAAATGAGAATGTTGAGGTGGATGTTTGGTGTAACAAGAACGGATAAGATAAAGAATGAATATATTAGAGGAAGTATGAAAGTGGCACCGGTGTTAGAGAGGTTGAAGAGTAATCGTCTATCATGGTATGGACATGTAATGCGTAGGAACGAGGATAATATTTTAAGAAAGGTGTTACATATGAATGTGGATGGTTATAAGGGCAGACGAAGGCCGAAAAAGAGATGGATGGACTGTGTGAAAGATGATATGGTAAGAAAGGGAGTAAATAACGCGTTGACTGCGAACAACGGGATGAATGGAAGCGAAAAACATATTACGCCGACCACAAATAAATGGGATAAGGAAGAAGCAGATGATTCTCGAACACTAACAAAACTTGCAATAATACCACGGCTCACCTGATTAAAAGAAACAATCGTCGCCTACATTTGATAGCTTTACTGGTCTAGTGGTTTAACAAACCGCTTTACCTCCGAAGTTCGCGGATTCAATTCCTCTCACGGTATAAGCATTTGTATTAATGAGTTTGGTAGTTTGTATCGGTCTGAGTGTTTTGTATATATTATGTATGTGTTTAAAAAAATGTACATATATGATATCAGTTGTATAGATTCTACCCATAACACAAACTCTACTTAGATTGGGACTATATGGCGCTTTGTAAATTATCCTGGGCCATTATTAATGATATGCACTTGAAAAGAGTAAGGGCAGAATATTATAAGATGTTCTTGGCTCAAATTACTTTCAAAACTGACAGTATATTAGCCTACAAGTGTCTATAATAGACCTACATGAATCCAGTTATTTTTTTTTTCGGCCATATACTTGAATGTACATTATTCATATTTATAACAGTTTATTTAGTTTATTAAAAAATACAGTTATTTTTTATTTTATCGATCATATATATTTCAATATACAAATATATGCATATTCATAACAGTTTATTTAGTATAATAAAAAACGCGTAGTGTGTTACATTCGATGGATCAAACTGATTGATAAATTGCGAGTTAACAGTGTAACAACGTAACACAATAACTGTTCGTCTCTGACCACTCACATCTCTGATTTATTGTTGTCCGTTGACCCTTGTGGCCTCTGTTGTCGTTTAGCATCTTATTACGAATTTCTCGAATCAACAAGACTATTAACTAAATAGAAACCAGAAAGGATCGGTAATCTAGAGAAAATTTGTTCTAATTACTATTGCACATGTCATTTGTAATTCTTTATTTCAATAACGATCTCCTTTTATTTAAACTAGGTATCACTCTAATGTTTTCATGCTATTTCGTATTAATTTGTATTATAACTAGCTGTTCCGGCAAACGTTGTTTTGCCATATAAATTAATAACGCTATAAAAAAATAGGGGTTGATGATAGAAGGGTGAAAATTTAGGATTGTATGTATTTTTGTATGTTGTATCATAAAAAAATAGAAACTAAAAATTTTGTCTAAAAAATAAAATAAAAAAATTTAGGAGTGGACTACCCCTAACATTTAGGGGGATGAAAACTAGATATTGGTCGATTCTCAGACCTACTCAATACGCTCACAAAATTTTATGAGAATCGGTCAAGCCGTTTCGGAGGAGTATGGGAACGAAAACTGTGACACGAGAAATTTATATATAAGATAATAATAATAGCATTATATACATAATATTTTTTTAATTTCTACCATTTTTCACTTTAGGGGTCGTTCAGGTATTACGTAAGCATAAAGGGGAGGGGGGGGGGTTTACTTTGCTTATTTTGGATGACATGGGGGTAGGAGAGTCAAGATGGTGATTACGTCATCACTAGTTATTTACTTTTTTATACAAATGGTAACACTGACATAGTTTTAGCTAAAAATCAATACATTATTGGAAAAATGTTTCCGTAAACATGGGGGAGGGAAGAGAGAGAGAGAGCTTGCTTACTTTTGCTGACAAGTGGAATGGGGAGGTAAATTATTGTGATAAATCTGGTTACGTAATACTGAAACGCTTTCTTTATATTTCAGCTAGGTGTAAATGTTTTAGTGCTATTGTATATTAATTTGTATAATAATTATAATAATTTTATACAATATTTTTTAACTTTCTACCATTTTTCACTTTATATATATATATATATATATATATATAACGTAGATAAATTAATGATAAATATGTAAAAAACGAATATTTGTTCAATATCATTTCTCGAAACAAAGAATATTTATACTTTTTTAGTAAACAGTAATTCACTTTTTTGGTTATATTTACATATTATGTATATATCATCCACTGCAGTCTACTGCTGGACATAGGCCTCTCCTAAGGTACGCCACTGGGTACGATATTCAGCCCTCTCATCCGCTACCCTACGTATGTCGTATGTAAAATGTAATCAAATCTTGTTGATTTGATTACATTTTTAAAAGTTTCTATAGATCATAATGCATTCATGCCATGATCGTAGTTCTGGTACGTCTAACGTACTACGACAGTAAATTACGTTTTTATTTCTGGTATATTTATATATGGCAGGTATAGTTATAAAATCTACATTTAGCTGTTAAATAGTAATTTATTTTGTTTAATTATTTATCATAGACAATCCCAAATTATAAAAAAAGAATGTTCAGAGTTGCGCTACAGAGGTCGAATAACATAATAAACTTTCAGTTTTAGTTATATAATAATATCGATTATATATTATGTTTCTTATTACAGATGGCAGTCATCGAACGCGGACCTTGAATATATCGTTACTAGTTCATAACAAGCTGTTACATATGCAACTATGTAGTGAAAACTAGTTGTACAAAACCAGTACTAACAGTCCTACGAGAATATGTCTATAAAATTAAAAATTTATAGACGAAGATATTATTAGGCCCTATCAAAGTTTCACTCAAGTTTGTGAGTGATGTGAGCTCGTCCTGGCATAGTGATGTTCTACTCAGATTTATAGAGCTCACAGGTCGTAAGATCGAATCTGGTCCGCATCAATAATTTTATTTAGTGCAAAAGTGTTTTTAAAAACAACTGAACAGATTTGATGAAACTTTACAAAAGTACACCTTCTTCCTATTAGTATGTATAATATAAGAATAACATAGGCTATAATATAAAAAGATATTTTGTAAATATAATGTTAAATGTTAAGTGTGGATGCAGCTGTAAAATTTCATAATTATATACATATGTATATACATATATTTGATGATATTTTGGTAATAATTGAATGAAATCTTATGCATATTTATTTATCTATACATATAAATAAAATTGGAATGTCTGTTTGTAATATTGAAATAACCATTTTTTACTACATGTATATGAATATATATACGGTACATATATCAAAATAACATTTTTTATAATTTTTGTATGTCTGTCTGTCTGTCTGTCGGTTTTTTTTTTTCCAGCTAATCTCTGAAATGGCTGGACCGATTTTGACGGGACTTTTTTGACAGGTAGCTGATGTAATAAGGAGTAATTTAGACTACTTTTATTTTAGAAAAAATAAAGTTAAATTCCACGCCGATGAACTCGCTGAAACAGGTAATTTAGAATAGAATAATGGTTATGGAATGGTGCACCAGCCGGCGCTAACGATATAACTGACAGGGCACGAATGGGGGATGACAGAATGAGCATGAGATCAGGTCAGGAGCCCAGCGTGGGAATTTAATTGTTTCCAGAAGGGACCGCGTGGAGGTCGATCTGCGCGACGTGACAGCAATGTATCATACATTGCTGTCACGTCGGGTCATCAGTCCACATTACTAAGGATCTCCTTCGCGATAATTTAGTACTGCGATCACTTTTTTCACAATATAATTTAAGATACTGTCTGTATATATATTACAAATATGTCTTTTTAATAGTTGGCTTTTCAAGGAGTATGGCTATCCACCTTAAATGTAAGTTATTCATAAAATAAGTCGATTGAATATCTACAAAAAGTCGATGAAAATGTTGCAAGCAGATAAATAACAATACTTTTGGCATCATAAAGGACATGCGCTGAACCATCTTACAGCTAAAATAAACTTAAATACACGTAAATATCAGCCGTGTTGACATGTCCTGAAAATTTCTCAATATGTAAACAATAGAGTGTAAAGTGTAAATGACAATAAAATAAGTGTATATTACAATAATGTAAAATATATTACAATATATTACAAAAATTACAAAAGTACACTACTTGTTGAAAACAAAAACAAAGCTATGTGTGGACGTGGATAAATTTTGTTCATTGGCTGTTTAGAAATATAGTGATTGCTAGGTATGGTATTTAATAAGAATATTGTAGATTATTCGATATCAATTAATATAAATAGAGAGACTATAATCTTAATTATTATTTTGATAAAGTATTGATTCATTTTATGAAGAATTTAGCGCTGATTTTTTATTGGTTATGGCAGAACGTGTTTTGCCCTTTTTTAGGGCGAAAGGATAGGCTGAGCTCTTTACACACATGATCTCTTGAGAAACGTTGATTTTTTTGTTGTTTCACCTTTTTGGATTTTCTATTTTGTGTGAGGAAGATACAAATAAATAATGCATATCTATCTATATATTTGATAAATTGTAGCGAAATCCATATCTATTATTTTGACTTTGAATTCTATTGTAGTATTAAGTATTGTTTATCAAATTAAATTAATTACAATTGGTGTTTAATTATACACTAGCTTTTGCCCGCGGCATCGCTCGCTTTTAATTTATGTTAATTACTGTAAATTTATCCCCTTTGGGGTTGAATTTATAAAAATCCTTTTTTAGGGAATGCCTACGTCATAGTAGATTTATGCATGCAAAGTCTCAGCCGGATCGGTTTAAAATTGACAAAGTTTCATACAAACTTTCATCCCTTATTTTATTCATTTAGGGGTAGAATTAATTAAAATCCTTTCTTAGCGAATGCCTACGTCATAACATCTATCTGCATACGAAATTTCAAGCCGATCCGTCCAGTGGTTTGGGCTGTGCGTTGATAGATCACTATGTCAGTCACCTTTGAGTTATGTATATTTATATATAGATTTATAAATTAGTTTTTATTTCAAAAACTATTATATTTTTGGAAAATTGACAATTAAAATACAATTTTAAAGAAAGAATAAAATCATAATTCAATGCATTTATAAATTAATTTAATATGATGAATACATCACTTGTTCTGTGACAGTAAATTTAAGATGAGCATGAATTTTTTTTAATATATATATTGGAGATAATTTGAATGCGTCCAGGGAGTGAGTCTCAGAACCATGAGTGACCGTGACCGTTTCTAAGCTTTTTTTGTTGTTGTCATCTTTTTCGATTTTCTATTTTGTGTGAGGAAGATACATATAAATAATTTATATCTATCTATATATCTAATAAATTGTAGCGAAATCCATATGTAATATTTTGACTTCGAATTCTATTGTAATATTAAGTATTGTTCATCAAATTAGATTTAACTGACTAACTGACTGACTGAAATGCATTTATAAATTAATTTAATTATGACTTCATTCTTTTTTTAAAATAGTATTTTAATAAACGATTTATTAAAAATATAATAGTTGAACCAGTATAGGTAAATTGTAATTTTATATATATATATACACACTAATATAATAAATATGTGGAGATATCTAATGGTCAACATACAAAAATATGTAGGTAATCTATATAAATAAAATTGGAGCGTCTGTTTGTAATATTGAAATAACCATTTTCTACTACATGCATATGAATATAAATAGGGTACATACACCAAAATAACATTTTTTACAATTTTTGTGTGTCTGTCTGTTTTTCCAGCAAATCTCTGAAATGGTTGAACCGATTTTGACGGGACTTTTTTTGGCAGGTAGCCGATATAATAGGGAGTAACTTAGGCTACTTTTATTTCAGAAAAATAAAGTTCCAACGAAGTCACTAGTACACCTAGTATTTAATATGATCATCTTTAACAATTGTATGCTTACATTCTTCTAACCAATAAAACTATGAAACAAAATTTTACTTTTACGATAAATATAACACCTAAATAAGTCTAATTATTAAATATATTGTTATCATTTTTATTACTATATTAAATTACTTTACTATATTCATAAGATTTTGTTATATTGCGGTAAATAAAGGTTTCAAACGAACTTCAAGGCGATACGAAAACTCCCGCATTGCGCACCTCAAATAGTAACTAACTTCACTTTAGTTGTGTCGTCAGGACTGTGGTATATTGTAAGGTACAGAATATCAACAAATTCAATGATAATGCGCTAAATCTATTACCTTTTGGTAATATAAAATAAACTATGGGTTAACAATATCATGGTGTATAAGGATCGTTACGAGAGAAACAAATTTAAGATTTGTTATCATCGGTAAGTTCACACACACATTTCTTTTGCAAAACGTATCGAGGTTATCTTTTGTAATATCCTTAATTTATTTAATTAATTAATTTGTAAATGATTCTATAAATATTTACTTATGTGTAAAATTAATTTATGTAATTTAAAATTGTAATATTTGATATCTAATTTACTTTGTACACAATAACATAATTTAGATATATTTAACAGTTTTGTAAATTAAATTCTATTTTCAAATTCTCTGATAAATTGTACATTTAATTGAATTTCTAAATTTCAGTAATTGTTTATTATTAATTGTAAATGTAAAATTACAAAACAAGTTACTGTTTAGGCATAATAAATACATTATTTACTAGTAAATAATGTTACATATAATTTTATTTTGATATGTATAATATCTTAATATTACGTTAAAGTCATTATTTGTAATCATCAATCAGTCTTATTAACGTACTACACTTAATAGGACCATCAAGTTATTTTTAGACCAACGGTAGTGCGTAGTAGGTACAAACATGTTTTTGAATCTATAAATAAAACAATACCATAGTACCAATTAATTAAAATGCACGCAATTGTAATATGAACGCCATAATTAAAAAGAACTACCAGAACGTGCATTACATGATTATAATTGGCATCGCGGTTGTTGACATCAATATATTATTTAAAAAAATAGCACATTCGGGGTTGCCCGCACTGCGACCGATCGATCCCATCGTTCACGCATGCGCAGACCTGCCACCCATAAGTTAGTATTAAAACGCCACGGATACCTTAGGTACCGAAGATGCCGAAGCCGACGCCTGTCGAGGACCTGATCATTCCACCGCAGGATCAGAAGATATGTGGGACTATATGTGTATGTCAGATGACAGCTGTGCTTAGTGCCGTCGCCATTGTGTATCTAACAGTCGCCATATATATGCCGTACTCCAGAGCCATCAGTTCTGGCATCGACCCTGTTCCAATTATGTGCACCACAACTCGGGCTGTCAACAAAGATAACTGTGATTGGGGATCTTGCGGAGAATGGTGTCTGAGTAAGACATCCGGTGCTTGCATTCAGATATATGTCAACGTCAGAAAAAATGGTTCATCGTTACTTTTAGCTGAATGCGGGAGTGCTGCCAACAAAACCTGCTATGGTATTGATCAAGAAAACGCTAAGAAATACCACTGCATTCGAGATGAATGTCGAAATTTAACAGGAACTTTCAACTGCACGGAAGGAAAGTGTATAAATATTACTGACGCTTTTGAATGCGCATTCAGAGAAACCGATCCACCGTTGAAATGTTCTGGTAGAAGAGGTAAAATAACATGCATAGACGTTCACGGACTGTTCTCATGTAACAGAGGTACATGTAGGAAAATTAGAACACCTTATAATTGTGATCGTCGCTGTGTGGACATTCCAACCCGTAACAAAAATGTAATTGTGTTAAGTGGAGACAGAGTGTTCTTAGCAAGATGTTCTAAATTGGCTCAGGAAGACGGTGGCAGCGTAGTGTGGACTGATTCCGGGGAAGAAGTTTTAATGTTGTCATGTCACGCAGTACATAATGGAACATCGGGTGTCGTTGCCATTGATTGCATAAATGCTGCATTGCTTCCTCGTACGGAGATTTCAGATTTGACTAACTTTACTTACCTCCAGTATCTATACACTATAAGGGCTGTTCCTAATCGCCTTATTGCGCCATCAGAAGTAGAACTAACAATAGCCAATGACAGTCGTCTGATGATTAATCTAGAAGGTTGCGTAAATACTTTAGCGGATGAATGTAAAGAGTTTTTAAAAGATTATGGAAGGGACGGTACAGATCACAACGCTAAGGCAAGATTCCCTTGTTTTTATACAGAAAATGATGCTGAAACAGTGGTAGCTAGATTTGACTTGGATGCGACGTATCGTCAATTTATTGTAGCTCTGATCCTACCTACAGTTTTAGTTTGTGTGTCGTGTGTAACATTAGTGTTATGTCAAAAGACAATAGAAGTTGGTGACGATGCTAAAATGAGATTCAAAAAGTTCAAGAACGGCGGTGGTCAGGCTGAAATGCAAATGTCACCAAACGATCCTGTTTCTCCACTCTGAGATCAGTCACGTGAGATATTATATGCATTTATTATATTTAGATAATATTTCACGTTATTGAAGTGAAATAATTACTTTCTAAGGTTAATTGTTAAGGAAAGAGTTATTTCTCTTATTAACATTCTCGTTATTTCACTTAAAGGTTATATTTCTATAAACGGCTCATGTGACCTTGACCTGCTAAAGTTATATTAATTAGGAGTTTAGTATTATGTACTTTATTAACTTGACACATTTTTGCATTTTAATTAAATTGTTCAAAATACTAATATTTATTATTATATATATTTTTTTAAATTATCCTTAAATTTGGAAAATTGGTATAATTCTTCATTTCAATATAGACATATTTTAACTTAAATTACATGTAAAAAAAACATTAAATGTTAGTAATAATTTTTAAGTCCATGTCACTATATAATATAAAGTATACTTTTTAATTTCTTTTCATATAAAGTATTTTTGTTTAAAAATTATGTCTGATTTGTCTGATTAATTATTAATAACTCATCGAACTAAATGATTTCCTTTTCTGTTACAGGCGTTCCCCTCCTATGTGAGGGACCGACTAGTTCACTAAGAGACGACTAAACGCTTGCAATGCTTTCTACTGGCTGAATCTACTCACAATGTCTTCGATGAGCAGATCTCGCGGGAGTCTCTCCCCAGCACCCTCAGAAAGATCAACATTGCCTATGGGTGCATCTGCAGAGCCAGGAAGCCCAGAATTCAAACAATTAGAGCCAACCAGGGAAGAGTTACTTGCACACTTTTTTGAAAGATTCAAGTTTTACACATCATTATGCCTTGGGACATCAGCTATTCTTGCAGTGTTCGCTTTCCTGTTTCTGATTCCGTTTGTAGTGGAGCCAGCTATACAGACGATTCTAGCAGAATTCGTCCCGGAAGCTGGAATTTGCGCAGTATCAGAACATGTTCATGCAGAAACACTTACCAACTGTACATGGGCATCTTGTAGAGAAGGCTGCACGACTGCACATACAAAATGTCACAAGATTCGAGTAAATTTAGCTAGAAAACCTTTCGTTGAAAATGCACCAGTTCCTACTGAATGGGATGAAACTGATCTGAAGTTTCTTATAAATCCAGAAGGATGTGGGTATCCGCCGAAAGTGAACTGTTCTGTGTTTGCTAGCGAATATGCTGGGAAAAAAGCTCCGAAGGTGTTCCCATGCTACTATAGCTTGACGAGACACGATCTGGTCGTTGCGAGGTATTCTTGGGATACGACTGTCCGAGGTTTGATCCTGGCCCTGGTGTTACCTACAGCGGTCTTCGTGTTCAGTTTGAGTGTACTTGCATATTGGCACTGTCGCTGCTGTGAGAGAGCATGCAATAGACGAGTACACGCCGAATCGTATGCCAGCAAAGAGGAGTAAGTATTATTTTTGCTATTTCTTTATACTTTCTAATCCTTTTTTTAGTATTGATGGAGCCATAATTATGTTCCTTTTCCCGTCAGCGCCCCTGTTTGTGGCATTGTAGATACGTATTATTTCTTTTTAGATGATTCATATATATAAATACTGGACTTTCAGGCTCGATAGCGATTTCAAGTTTGGCGATGGAAAGTCTTAGTCGCTGTAGTTGTCAACTAGTAATATACTATACAAGTACGTTTTATGTTGAAATTGCACTGTGCCGAGTGTTAACAAAGAACTATCTATACATGAATAATAAAATCACTGTATCCGTCGATCAAACTTTCCGCTTATGCCTTTTATTCGCTATAGTCTAAAATTGTGAATTATGTACTTACATAACTTTTCAACATAAATTTTATTTTTATTGCATGTGTATTTTTACAAGGAGGTACTATGTTTTTATACTACCTTTTCATTATTTTTTCTTTTATATACTGTTTTATTTCTGTGAATAGAAGGCAGTCAAGCATTACCATACACTAGTCTATCAGTAGATATTTGGAGCTATTAGATTGCACTATAAACGATAAATTATTCGCAATCAATAGACTAAATAAAGAGCACAATAATTTCCAGTATTTTCTTAATTTCTATCTAATTATCAGAGTTTTCAGAAAAATCGTCTCTTCTGATTTGGTACATTGACATTATATTATATGAAAATATTTATGCTATTGTAAATACATTAAACTCAGAACAAGCAATGCATGGACGCATAGCAATGGATTGTACAATATTCTTATGTAGGAGATTAATTAAAAATGCAACATTCTGTATTGATACAGTAAAATATGTTATAATATTAAATCCAAAGTGTACATTAGAACTGTATTATCATAATATATACAGCATTATGGTTATTTATATTATTTTACAGTTGAAAGTGATGTATTATTTATTTATTTAATGTAATTTTTACAATATTGAAACGAACGCGCATAGCGAGGTTAAATTTAAGAGCAAATCCTCGAATATTTAACAAACAATATTTAAAACTAATGTAATTAATATAATATATTGCATATCATCTTTATACGCGTATATCATTTTAATTAATTTTTAATTACAATCATTAAAAAAATTTGAATAATCAAATTGAAATATAGTGAAATAATATTTTTAATTATTTAACCCGTTTAATTATAAATAGATACTTATCCATTTTATTTAATATTCGTTAAAATTTAACAGTATAATTATTTTAATATTTATTAAACTGGATAAGTAATTTAATTCGAAAACTTACTATTTATACGCCCATTTAAAATGTAATTTGTGTGCAATAAATTCTAATTATTTCCTACTTATTCATTAATTACAATTCATTACACTTCGAAAGCTACATTCTCAATGAGTGAATTCTTATTCTTTCGATATTATTGATTACGTCCAATTCATTACATTTAGATCATTACATTCTCAATGAGAACTCAGATTTAGTTTGTAGTAAAAATATTTCATTTAGGATCGACGAATCATATATTCACAATTATTATATCATGAACGTTAATGACTGTAATTGTAATTGGTTCATAATAATCTGCATCTCTTCGCTTCTGGTGGCCTGTATCACCCCTTATACTTTTGATATACTTCAACAAGATACCACTTCAATCACATTCTTAAATAAATATCATAATTAAATATTTGGAAAGTTTATAATAAATCTAATGATAATCATTGTTTGTTTACAGTAGCAAACTGCTTTGTGAGTTAGACGATGACCCAAGTGATGATGTCTTCTGACGCCGAGCATCAGCCGCCCGCCGTCGTGCCCCCTCCCGTACCGAAGGCTACACCCAGCTGTAAATTTACGTAATCGCTGCGTAAACGTCGCTTAAACGCTATATTAAAATTGCGTAAACTTTGCGTATAAACTGAAAATGCGAACAGAAAGCTTTAATCTCGAATCTTCATTTTATTATATTTTAATATAATATTTTACTTAATATTGGAATGGAACCGAATTACAACGCAACTTAAATAAATTAATATATATTTAATATGCGTCGTAAAGTTAGTTTATTATAATATGATAATTAATGAAGATAATTTTTAATCAATTAACTAAAGTGTAATGGGGGAAAAGAAAAAAAATATCAGTATTATATTTTATGACATTTTGGCGGGCAGCATGGCTTATTGCTTCATGTTTAAAGAAAATCAGGTGCAAAAATTATGAAAAAAAGCGTCTCTTTGTTCTAAATTATGAGCTATGTCGGATAGTTAGTAAGTTCACATTACTTTGCTTCTGGAAATGTGTGGATTTTCCGGATTTTGTACAAAATTTAGCGTAAGTATAATATACCATGAAATACAATAATTTATAATAATGATAGTGTTAATAATAATTATATTCTCGTTATAAATATAAGTATAATATTTTTTCAAAAGTAGCATCTCACGTGTTTGGGCTTGTTTGCATAGAATGTAGCCAATTGAGGTCACTAAAATTTATAAGTACAGAAGAAAAAAGAAAGAAAAAAATATATTTTACAGCATAAATACAAAATTATATAATTGTCCCTTAGAGATATGGATCTACGTAATAAAATTATCTACTCAAGCGCGATAGCAATACTTTCAATAGAAATTTTGCGAACAGTAAGTTATTTTTTTAGTTATTCTGATAATTCATTATAATTACTTCGTCTTGTATATTCTTTCAATTTGGATACTATTTTAGGTTGTTTATATAAATGAGCTCCTTGGTATGAGCATGAATAAGTACTTTTTTCTAAAAATTGAGTTTTCAGTTACGTGTAAAACTAAATTTATTTAAATAACTTACTTTTATTGTAGAAAATATACATAATAGTACGTTTTGTATAGAGAGGCGTCCAGGACATACAGCCTTAATAACATATGTAAATTACAGTTCCCAGTCTAAGTTTATTTTTTTTTTTATAATATTATATACAGTTATTATTTTATAATAATATTTATTATCAGTAGTATTGCGAGCCAGAGTTATTAAAATCCAGAAACACACAAAACCTCCTCCCAAATTTAGCTATTTGATAATATTATGTAGTTTTGTCTTTAATTTTATTCCTAACTCTTAAAATGCTATATTACTTCTATGTATTTTACATTATGATATAAATTATACATGTATATATAATTATATAATTAATATTAACGAGCTTCATACTGATACCAAAAACAAAATTAAATTCTAAATATCTTTATTCATGTAGATCTATTACAGACTCATATGATATGTCAAATCTACATCAGTTCGAAGTGCTCTCGAGCCAAGAAGAACTGACAAGAAACTCGGGTGTTATTCTTTTCAATTTTTTTGAGAATAGAGTGACCACCAGATGTGCTATTGCAATTTTATCTAAATTAGTCTAACCAGTGGCAGTTTACGTTTTTGATCATGGAATTGCTTCTTGTATGATTTCTGTTGCAATGGATAATGAAATCTATATAATATACTATAATAGACAGTAATAACTTGTTAGTAACTTGAACTAAAAAGATGTGCATAATTAGAAAGATTTTTATTTTTTTAGAAATAGAAATAAATATAAAATAAAGATTGTAACTACAATACACACTCATTCTTGGTGCAATCAGATGATATTGTCAATGCTATGAATTTTAAATTCCTTTTTTAAGGAGAGTAAATAACTAATTCCAGCTATAACAATATTAATTTATTGTAGTGATCAGAATTAAGGAATGATGCGTTAAAGAAATACCTAATGTTTATTCTTTCCTCTTTAATTAAATAGTGATAGTTATTTAATTACTAGTTACTAAAAAAAAAGAGATTTCAACAATTTCAAATATCACCATAATAACATATAAATATATCAATAAATATATAACTTAAAACCCTAACTCTGAATTCTTGCTATGCCATACCTGAAAGTAGTATTTAACTTTATTAAATAATTTTAATGAAATATTTTCTATTTAAATAGTTATAATCATAATATTTTTATCTTGTGATTAATTGTTTTAATTATAATAATTAAATTTTAGATATTATTAATAAATACAAAAATCTTGTCTCCTGGCTGTAACATAATTTAATAAATAGTAATAATTATTATTATTTCTAATATAAAAAACATAATTATAATCATGCATTTTTAATTATTTATTGGACTTGTTAAAAATTATTATTTGCGAAGTTCTTTGTAAATATTATAATTTAATATACTAGGTATTTACAATAATTATGTTAGAATAGTGAGTGTTTCTTTTAGCATATTCTTCACATCACATTGATGTATCATTGATTTATATTTAAATTATTTTATTTATATTCGTTATAATAGATATTTAATGTTAGTACTGCCTTTAACATTTTATATAATAATCTGCCATATTTTTGTGATATTAGCGCTTACTGTGTAATATACAAATTATATTATCACGTGTAAAAATGTAAGTTACAATGTGTAAAAAATATTACATTATAATTATTGTAATTTACAATATCTTTTATCCAGTAATGTTATGTTTAAAATCATAAAATTTATAAGTCATACCAGCCCCGAACTAAGAATATTGTAAACGTTTTAAATTAAATTATTCATACAATTTGTCTAATATTAAATCAGAGCATTATAATTAAATTAATTCTACTACATTTTCGTATTTTGTGTGTATTTTTAAACAATTAATGGAGTAATATTAAAAAAAACTAGATTATAAAATATATTACAATTAATTAGATTTTGCAAAATTGTTACACTGTTCTTCTGTTTGTTTATATATAAAATTATATTGATGTTACCTGTTTATATATGTAACTGTAGTGTGCTTTTAGTAATGTTTTATTTGTTTCATAAATATTGAATGGACGATGAATTATAAAAACATAATGTTTTCATTTTTATAAGCATTCATTTAATAAATACATATTTATTAATAATTTACTAAATTATAAATTCATTATAAAATTGTACTTTATTTAAATCTGTTTAGTTATTGTTGCAGACTTTTAAAAATTAATTTCATTTTTATTATTATTATCATTATATTGTTTTCTAGAAATGATTAATTGTTTATTAAAATGAGTCTTTATTGGTGTTGATTATGAATTCTTTATTATCTAATAATATTACGTTTATGTATAAATAAAATACAAACTGAAGTATATTATTGTAAAAGAAATTACATAAATAATATTTCCAGATATTAAATCGTGTGTGTTATTAAGATAAAATAAAGTTTTTATTGCATCAATTTAACAAATATTCAAAAGCCTTTGTAAATTGTAATTATAATATATATTTTGTTAAATAAATTATTGAGTCCAGAATGTTTGTTGTGAATCAAATTGTAAATATAGTCTTTCTTGAGATAATAAATAGAAATATTATTATATATTAGGTATGTGACTCAATTGTAAGTACGCATCGCATTATAAGCGCAAACAACACAAAGTTACAATGACAAATAAAGCTTGTTTTTTATATATGTATCTATTTATTAACCCCTTTCAATCATTAGCTACGAACCGTGGCATTGCTCTCTTAAGATTAATAATGCGACTTGAATCTCAAATTTCATACGAATCGGTCCAGGAATTTATGAGTTCAAGAGTATTAAAGAACAATCCATTCTCACACACTTCTAAGTATACTAGTGGTCGTCCAGTGGTTGAAATTCGACCATAACTAATTTTATATTCAGTAAGACTATAGACAAATAACATTAATCTATTCTCAATTTGACTATAGACTTTAACAATAAACAAAACAGTATATATTCGCGTGTGTGAAATACATGGTAGTGTTTTTAAAGTTTTTTATGTTTTATGTATTGATTAAATGTATTTTTGATTATAATATTTAAAAACTATTAACATTCTTCACTACTTCCCTATATAAACTATAAAAGTGCGAAATTTCATACTCTTCCGTGCAATTTTCGTAAAAAGATGTACAAAGTTTTTGCCTCACGTATTAAAGGATGTATTATCCTGATGTATAAGCTATATTGCTGTAAAGTTACATCAAAATCCGTTTGTAGTTTTAGCATGAAAGAGTAACAAACATCCATCCATACTCATAAACTTTCGCGATTATTAATAAGTTAGTTCAGTTTAGTTTATGAATCCATATAATATCATGAATTAATAAACTAAATTAAACTAACTAAAAACACAGTGATTATTAAAATGGATAAATAATGACATTTAGTTCATAATAAGTAATTTACAGTGAAATTACAGGGTTGGAGGTATGATAATGCTTCCAGTAGGTCAGGTTTCCACATTTAATGTTTGTAGTGTCACATGCTAATTAGCGGAATAAAACAAAATAATGTATATCCATCGAGTTATAGTAGGTGACAACTATCAGTTAGGTGATCAGAATGTGCTATTCCAAATCTAAGGAAAAAAATGTTAAAGATACTCTAATATAGACAAATAAAATTCTAAAATCTATTTCTAATTGCAAATTTACTAAATTCATATTAAAGTATATACGGTAATTACATTATAAAAATAATTTAAAAAAATAGGGTCTTTCGTCTGTGACTAATTTCAACACAGACGAAGTCGCGAGTCTAGTATATAATATATTTAGTAAACTAGAGAAAAAATTGTACATAGCACTTATATGAAAAATCGTAATAATTAGATAAAATTATGTTTCTTTATGGTGTGATGTCCTCGCCTATGCATGGCCTATGCATGCCTATGTTTACACTAGCGGGGCACCAGTTGAGGATGACAAACATGAGTAAGTTCTTAGTAACAGAATCACCAGGAATTAACCAAGATGTGGTTTCCAAATAGGTATGGGGATTGACCTGACTTGGTACTATAATACAATGCAAAGGGATCACCTGTTCCCATTATAAACATTCCCGTCCCCTCTTACTAAAATTGGCTGAATTCAATAACAAAGAACAGATCTAAATTTTAGAACACGAATTTCACCCCTTCGATCCTATATCTAGTAGTGGATTGCAGTAGATTGATGACGATGATGATGGATTCCAAGTCCTATTCAAACGGGGATCGAAATTTCGACGACTAGAGCCGAGATTAGAACCCCTAGCGGTACCTCAGACTAAAGTCGTATCCGTCAGGTAGGAGTTGGTCTCCAACCACTCCATAAGTTCTTCCACGTTTGGAGTGTCATCTGCACTCGCATGCATCTTTCAGTTTTTTTTTTCGAACTATTCTAATGCTAAACGAAGTTCCAATACTAAATCGAGCTAGTAAGAAGTCAGTATATATAAAAAAGGGTGTAAATAAATTATATATATACTTCTAAGTCTAAAAAACTACTGTTGCATTCATGTAATTCTTTCTAACGATCAATATATGGTAATAATATAGCAGATTGAAATTAGGTAGCGTTAAGTAAAAGTAGCGATTTTACCACATGACAACCCGGCAAACGTTCTTTTATCCCTCTTAAAATAGGGATTGGTAATAGAAGGATGAAAATTTAGGGTTGTATATAAAAATACACATGCTGTATCAGAAAAAAATAAAAAAAAACATATTTTGCTCAAAAATTTATAATTGGAGTGGGC